AACATCTGGCATCTGCGGTTAATGGCGGCTGGTTGATGAGAAGTGAATTGTCGCGACTCTTAGTAAATCGTCGGACATCCTGGTTGATGGGTTATTTTGACCAAAAGTTGAAGTAAAGATCCAGCTAACACATACAGAGTATTCCCTGTCTGTTGTTCTTTTACATATATATATATATATATATATATATATAACAGTATAACTTCATAGGGAATATCAGAATAATGTTTGTCCACACATGGTAGTTCTACTATTACATCATGTAAAAGTATGCACAAATCACAACTCTACAAACATTTGACACGCATGCTGAGACACACAACACACAACGCTGACCCTCCCCCACACTCTCATGCAACAGGCACGTAAGAGCGATGCAACACACTGAACGCACATCCTTCGCATCGCCCCTCCTCCCGCCTCCCAAGATTCCCGCGTGCGACATAGAGTTACGAAATCGACTGCGGCCGTCGCGGACATCTAGTGATCTCTGTTGCGGCGCTCGGGCCCACCTTTTCCCCATCGTGTGCCTCCCACTGACACGCCCGACGATGGGTGAACTCTACAGCTATCTGGCCGCCGGGTCGACCCAAACAGCGCCCTTCTTCTCCACACGACACAAAGTGAGCGGATCGCTCCACAGGAGTTACCGGGGATGGAGACGATTCCTCACCTAGCTGCCATGGGGGAGTGGGAGAAGGAGGGAGGAAGGAGGGGCATCCCCTGTCACAAGGGAGGGGGGAGGGTAAATATCCCGATGACCGTAATCCTGTTCCCATCAGATGCATCCTGAGGCCGGTCGCTAAGCTGGGAGTTGGAGGTCGGTTGCGGGCATGAGGATGGATTAGCTTAACGGCGCGGCGGCGCCTCAGCCTCTGGGGTTGGCTGTTGCAATGGAAGGCAGGGTGCGCCCACGATCCTAAACTTCTCCCGTCGGCAAACACCAATGCCGTCGCACGGGATCCGGCACCGAATTCTGGTCTTGCGTGACAGTGAAACAAAACACACGAGCTAACTACAGATGATGATAAAACAACAGTTTCCCTATCACCCATCTACATCTATATTCCCCTTCATCTCTCTCTCTACGAAAGCAAATGCTGTTGTGGCGGCGACGGCGGCGGTGGTGGTGCACTCACGCCGTCCGGCCGCGTGACAAACACGACTCCGCTGTTGTCGCGCGTCGCACCCGCAAGACCACTGCCACCAGGTTGCAACGCTGTTGGAGGATAGATGTTGTCGGTGCTTTGCTGCAGCGGCTGGTTGATGGTGTCCGTGCTCCCTGTCAAAAACAAGAGACACGCGATCATAGGTCTGCTGTCTATACAATGATGAACGTGCGAGATCAGAGCTGTCGAGACGTTACAGGGAGGAGTGGTTACAGATGGCTTCCTTTCTTCCTACTTCCTTTTGTTCCTACTTCCATCTTCCTGTTTCGGCATACCGTTAACAACTATATATATATATATATATATATATATATATCCAGAGAGACATGATACAAGATTGCGTGGCACAGCTTTGCTGTAGATCCTGAGCGCTGCGCGCGGATGAGACGCGCAGTTCCGCGGGATATGCGCACGCGACCGCGGGGATGTTCAAGTATGAAGCGCTGCCCGCAGTGGAGACGTCTTGATATATATATATATATAGCGTAGTTTAGGCTTCTAAGAATGTGATCACACATAACCAAGTGTTTCTCTAACTAGAAACTTGTTTTCCCCAAATCGCTGAAGCAACGACCGTGTATACCGTCTGCAGACGTCACCATCGGGAGGTGAGGGTTAGGGGCACGCCGTGAAGGAAGGTGGGGGTAAAGCTGAGTGACGCGCCAACACAGGAGGCAAAGTTTAAAAGGTTGCAGACAAACCGAGCTATTTCGGCTGATCGACATTTCTTTACAGAGAAGACGTTGTTTGCTTAACAGATGCATCGGCGTGTCGTCACACGACGGATCGTTAACTTACAATCTGGGTTGATAGCATCGCTCCACAAAGCCGCCATTATTGTATCAGTCGAACTGTCAACAGGATTACCTCTCGTCTGTTTTTGTGCATTTTAGATTTATCTCTTTATCTCACTCTCCCACCCTCTCTCTCTCTCTCTCTCTCTCTCTGACTCACACACACACTAACTCTCTCTTTCTCTCTCTCACTCACTCTCTCTTTCTCTCTCTTTCTC